TAGCCATTCTTACGCCAATATGGGCGGATGTATCTCTGTCTAGTGTTTCATATATTTTATCGGAAATGATTAAATCACATAATGTTTTAAAGTCATTTACTTCTCTCAGAGGTAAATAATACTCAAAAGTTGAACGAATTCGTGTTGCAAATTGAATGTGTGATTCATCAAAATTTTTTCTTTCGCGGCGAAAATTAAATAGACTCTGTCGAAGAGTTAATTGGTATTCTCTTAAGGTTAATGATTTCAGTTTTTCGTAATTTTTTAATTCCTCTTCTTCCACGTATAAAAGCTCTTTGTTTGCTTTTTCTTGCAAAATTGCTGTGAGAATTTCGGACTTAAGTTCATCTTTTACGTTTTTTGTTTTGAATGCTCGCTCCAAAGAATTAAAGAATAAGCTAAGATTTTCAGGATTTTTCGGAACAGTTACTGTTAAGGTTCGTATACTTTTAATAAGTGATTCTAAATCTTGATGCGGTTTAGTTAAATCAGAACTGATGTTTACGCTCATATCTTCATTTTGACTAAGTCACTAAGTGATTGAAGTTGAATTTCTTTTTCTATTCTAGCTAATTTTACTTTTTCTTGTTCTAAATTAAGTTGTTGCATTTTTAATTCTTCGTCAGCTATTAATTTCCTTGCGTTTATAATTTCGTCTAATAGTTTCTTTACTTTGTTCGGGTCTTTTTTATATTCGTCTGAATTTTCAATTAAAGTTTTCAGTTCGCTTACTGTAGCGTTTGAAGGAGTGGGAATATTTAGTTCTTGGGATAAAGTTATTAAATCTGTTTTTGTTGATTTATACATGATGATGTTCACAAAAAGAAGAAAAAAAAATAAAGAGTCACCTACTTCAAAGGTTTCTTTGCAGATAAAATTTTTAGTATCCGGTTACACTTGTGCAACACACAATTCAGGCACGAACTCTGTATCAGTTGACGATATGCGGTAGTTTCAAGCAACTTCAACGGTGATTCTAGTAGTTTTCAGCAACTTTGATGGCGATTCTAGTTGTTTCCAGCAATTTCCACGGCAAATCTAGTAGTTTCCAGCAACTTCACAACGTTTCTAGTAGTTTCCAGCAACTTCACAGCGTTTTTCATTCAATTTAGCCCTGCGCGGCACTTGAAAAATGGAATGTTTCGTTTTCACAGTTTGGTTACGCAATGCTCAGCGTAGTTTTACAGTTAGGAAGTAATTTTTAGTCCTTCTCGACTCAAATAGTTCTAGTGATTTTTGCCCTACGGGACGTAATCGACGTTGTTTTGAAGAATGGATTAATTTTGGCCCTACGCGGCTCAAATAGTTTCTAATAGCTCAAATTTGACTCGTTGGCTATAAACGTTGAAAAAATGAAAAGTATTGCCCAAATCGCGATCCACATTCCCGTGGACGAGCCCCCATTTGTGGAATAAAGGGGGTGAAGAGAGGACTTTAAATAAAAGGAGATACGCTAAACTTAACAAAAATAAGATACATATTCTGCTGAAGTTCTACTCGAGCCAGACATTCTAACTGATTCCATCTACATGGTGTACAAGTAAGAGTAATGTAAGTGTAGTGTCCTTGATATCACGTGATTGAGATGGTTGCTTCGTGGATCTGTATTCCACATAAATATAGACTGTTTATTATTTCAGGTATTGTATTAGTATATTATAATTAGACCAAATTATTAGACGCGCTGTAGTGTCTTAATTGCATGTTTTGCATGAGTTTATATGCAATAATTTTACAAGCATGTAAAGGGTTTTTATTCAGGAGATTTTTTATATACTTCCTATTTGTATTAATTTTTAACGTATTGCATTACAATGTTAACTAATTGATACACGAACGTAAACAAATGCAAACCGGTTTCACCTGCGTGAAAGCAGCATTGCTATTCAGTATCACCCAATAATTAAGATTTTGCATGGAATCTTATAGTGCGTCTAATAATTTGGTCAGGGACTGTTTATTGTTTTTAGATTTTTGATAGATATTTTTGTTTTTGCGTAATTTACGCTATCATTTTTTAGCGTCATCCCAATCGGTTTTCATTAACTTTTTTAACTGTTTTGAAATTAAATTTAAGAAAAATTTAAAAACAGATAAATGTGTAGTTTTTAATGCCCTACTCAAAACCATAAATCGCACAATTTTATTGCATACATTCTTTTGAAAAATGTATAAAATATCTACAATTTATCAAGCACTGTTTTTTCTTATCGATTAAAGTGACCCCTTTATTTTTTATAATTTTTTAAAGGGTACTTCACTTTAGATCATCAAAATTTTTCGAATACGAAAAATTATCAAGAAAACACAAATCAAAAATTTAACTTTAAATCAAGATGGCGAAGGTTTCTTATTGGAATGAATACAGAAAATAAGAGAAAAAAATAAAAGAAAACGCTCATTTGTGGACTTTTTTTTTTAAATATTTCCAATGGCAGAGAACTTGACAAAAAGGGGAAAAAAGACATGAACAAAAAAAAGAAAACAAAACAAAAAGTCATTGTCTCATTCGGCCTCGAGCCTCCCAATAACGCTCGACCAAGGAACTCCCACGAAGCGCTCTGCAGTGTGAAATGTCATGACTAAGGCCCGGATTTTGATGACATTTGCATTTTTTTTTGCATTTTTGGACATTTTTTGTCTTTTAGAGCATTTTTTTAGATTTATAGGGCATTTTTCCTTAAATTTTGGGGCGTGTTTTGCATTTTAATGCATTTTTTAAAGTTTTTTGTTGATTTTTTCCAATTTTTACTATTTTTTTTATCAATTTTCATTATTACACTAGCTTCCAAACAATGAAGAAAATCTATAGAATATTAACAGGTGAAGCAAAATCTTTTCAAGTTGAAGAAGAATTGTCAGTAAGTGAGACCGTCTTTTTCAAGTACGCATCTATAACATCAGTAGACGTTGAAAGAAGCTTCTGCAGGAATGAAAATTTACTTTCAGACAAGAGACGCTCGTTTACATTTCAAATTATCAAAAAACATTTAATAATCCAATGTAATTCTGATATTTAGTAATATTATGAGATGGAAGTTGTTATATCCATTAAAGTTTCTATACAAAATAAAAATATTTTGGTGTCAATATATTTTCCTTTTCTTGTTATATTAGGATATAAAACATATTTTTTAAACTTTAATGAACGTAGAACAAGTATTGCATTGCTTTATATTTTTTAAATGACTCATAATAATTTTAAAGACCGAAATATTTTTTTAATTCAATATTTTTACTTTATTTAAGGCATTTTTTGGCCCTTTTTAAGGGCATATTTTGCACTTTTTAAGGGCATTAGTTGAGATTTTTTAGGTCATCAAAATCCGGGCTCTAGTCATGACCATTCATGATGACGTGATCCCCACAGAAATAACAAAAGGGGTCCGCAAACAAATAGATGTCCAGCCAGACAGTCTTGCCATACCAGGTACAAAGACTGAACATCGCAAATGCATCACTGCGAGGATACTCCGGAATGCTCAGCTGATCTAAATGTCCCCAACTTTTTTCACTTGATTTTTATAAAAATCGAACGAAATCATAGGATGTCCAAAATAAAAAAATGGGATAATCTGTAAAAGGTACAAATGTGGTCTATTCTGATATATCTTTATCGTACTGTTTCAGATTTTTTAAGACTTTTAAATTAGGAAGAATAAAAACGCTAATAAGGAATTTTTACGCATTATTAAATTTTATAAGGATAAATTGAGGGTATTAATTACTGGAGTGTAGTAATTATAGGAATAGTCTAGTAATTAATGCATTGTAATGTAATTTGATAGACTGTACCTTCTATGTTTAAGGTTTTATCCGAGCCAATTTTCCCATTTCTAAATACTAAGTAAAAAATTGGTTATATGGATCCCAAAAAGATGCAGTCTTAAAAAGCAGCACATTTTAGGTAACACTTGAGCTTTGTAGCGCGCAACATCATGTTTCTTTAAGATTTTATAGGTTTATCAATCATGCTGTATTAATTTGTTGAACTGTTACAAGTATAGTAACAGCATGCTAGCGGTTACTATACTTGTAACAGTTCAACAAATTAATATCACACTGTGCTATTAAGTAATTGTTACATATTGTCTACTTATTCTAGTAATAATAAATACTCAATATTTATGAGGGCTGTATGATTTAGGGAGCAGCTGCTACGAACAAAATCGTACCACTTCCAGACCTTTCAAAAACAGTTTTCAGTATTTACTGAACAAATATCATTGCTAAATATAAAATATATAAGTAATACTATTTCAAGTACAAAACTTTTTTTTTATTTTCTTTACTTTTAGCGATATTTGCTTTGAAATTTTATGTTTATTTGTCGAGAAGTATACCTATTCATTGACAATCTTTCTATTTTGTTTGATCTCTTCTGATACTGTACTCTTCCACCATGCATAGGATCCCTTTTTTTCAAAGTCATTATTGTTCGTGACTTGAAATTCGTATCTATAAAAACAAAAGTATGACAGTAAGTATCGTGTCGATATCGTTCATTAGCTGACGCATACTGATGTGTAATGGGGTTCGACGTATCACATCTGAAGTTCGCTGCACTCTTAGTGTAGCTCTAATATGACATTTAAACCAAAATCTTGGTGTCGACCATTTCTATGCCAATATTCATATTTTGGTAATAGTACCGAAACCTCATTATATGTTACATTATTTACACTATTTTTACTCTTTTTTTAGCTTTATTAATATTCAACAGCCTATCTTTAAGTGGATAATACTTATTTGTTAAAAATCTTTATTTATCCCGTTTGACGACAATATGATATTCTGTACACCTTGTTTTTGACGCATTACTACGTTCCGGTTTAGTCTTTCCATTTCCTCTTATTTTTGACGGATCATTTTTAATTCTCTTGCCTGCATGATAGGAGAGAATTGCATTAAAACAGTAAAAGATCTAAGCAAAAGTGCTTTCAAAATGAACATTTGATTAATATAAAAAAGGCATTTTTAAAATAAATAATTATTTTTAGGTGCTATTTGGATGCCCATAGAAATGAGTCAACTTCCATAAGATGCCCTTCCGATGCCATCCATTAATTTCAGTGTTGTGCAGTTTAATTGTGGTTGTGATAACCTTTCTACTCCAATTAATTGCCCTTACTACATCTTGGTGGTCCACTTACTCTGCAAAAACAGAACTGGGTAAGTATCTTTCTCACCTTCCATAAACAATGGTATACAATAATTTCAGTGTTCAGCATTTTTATTGTTTCGACTCCTATTAATAGCTTTACCACAGTCTATTTACACGGAAAAATCAGAATTAATTTTAATCACCCTCAACTTCCATAAGCACCGTCCTTCCAAAGCCATCCATAAATTTCAGTGTTGTGCAGTGTTATTTTGATTGCAATAACCTTTCAGTTAATTGCCCTTCTTCGTGGTCTACTTACTCTACAAAAACCGAATTAGATAAGTATTTTGCTTGTTAATTATTCACAATTTTTGAAAATATTTATGAGCTCAGACAATGTAGCGTTGGAGTAAGTTTCCAAGTGTTAAAAAATTAGAACACAACCGCTTTAACAAAACTTTCTTTATATGAAGATTAAGCGCCATTTTCTTAATTAGCATAAAGGCACTGACTAAATATGGGCAAAATCTAACCTAACTGTAAAAAATCTCACAAGAGTTATAAAAATAATATATTATTCGCTAAATAGCGTAATTTAGTCTGACAACAGAGCTTTTGAAATACAGCGTTTGTAAAAACAATACAGCTGCATGTTATCCCTGTTTTACGATAACTATAAGCATTAAAGTGGTATCTTAAAACGTAAATTTATTACCATTTACACATAAAGTTTGGAGAAACGAAATATACGACCCTGCCATGATATATTATTAAGAAAAATTTCTTGATTTTTAATTAAATGATTTTATTATTTTTAGAAATTTAAATGGTAGATAGCACAAGAAAATATCCACTTAATCCAAACACTCTTTTTCTAATCATTGCAATATAAAAAATTAAAAATAGATCAATTTTGTTATTACTTTCTTGGAAATATGAAAGTGGTAAATAAATTAAAATTTTTCTTTATAAATATGAAATTGAATTTTTAACAAACGTATTTTGTTTAGGTAAACCTAGAGAAGAGGGTCATTATGGTCTATGGGTGTTATGTTCCACCAAAGCACCCCGACACAAAGAAGATTGCGATCCTTTGGATACTTTTTTCCAAGTTCCAATTTATTGTCAAATTGCTGGAATACTTGCAGTCATTCATTTGTTACTTGTTCTCGCACTTTTGCCACTCGAACTTGTCTGGGCTGCACATTTTTTTCGGAACCTTCAAAATCTCAAACCTAAAGTTTTGTGCATAGCTAAAGTCGCCGCCGCTGTCCTTGCAAGTAAGTTTTTTTATTTTTAAAATCTACTTTCAAAATTGCTAGAAATTTTTTAGGTACTCAAATCGAACTTTTCTTATTAGTTGCCAAATACGATTCACTACGAAATTCTGACTTTTTTTTTTTGCTCAGAAAGGAACTACTTCAAATACTCATATATTGAGTAATTTGTTATAAATTTTTTTAAAATTTTTAATTGATAATTTTGTCATTAATTTAAAATTGTTCCAAGAATTTTGTTTAGTTTAATTTAAAATAAAAAAAAAATTTTATTTATATATAATATATAAAATAATTATAGCGAAAAAAAAAATTAATATATTTTTTTTTATTTTTTTTTTATTATAAAAGCGTCTGTATTTCTCTAACCATTCAAGCTAGGTGTTTGAAATTTTATGCAGTTATTGCAAATAACAACCAAAGTAATCGAAGTTACAAGTTTATTGCTATATTTTCTGGCAAATGGTGTTTAAAATTCTTGTTTTCATTCATAATTTATTACCGGATTTTTAAACCTCTGAAATTTTTGAACTTTAATAATATTTATGAGAAATCACACAACTTAAGCATACATCTCTAAAGTTATTTAATAATCCTCTAAATATTTCTTGGGAACTTAAAGAAAATGTTAAAAACTGAAAGTGTCTCTTCCATTTTTGTAGGGTAGTGCTTGCATGCATATATATATATATATATATATATATATGCACAAAATCGAACAATCGAATCAATATATGTGCACAAAATCGAACTGCATTCACTTTGGTTACTTACTGTGAGTTCACTGAGTTCATATTCTGTGGTCATTCGGATCAACGCGTCTTGATGTTGAGTTGTTTTCTTGGGAACACATGATTTTGGTAGATCGTGCACACTCTTTACATTCTTTAACTTCTTTACTATGTGGCCAAAAAATGATTTTGGAATTCCAAACTTGGTTGCAATATCAGAATATTAAGCTTTTTTTCAGTTTCTTTAATAATCAAAATTCGAGTGGCCGANGGTCCAAACTATCGACCGCTCTTCATATATATTGCACTTGTATACGCGCATCTAACATTGCTATACAAAAAAGGGAGCTATTTTTTTCCTGTGTTTTTTTTTTTTGTTGCTTAATCGAGTGTAGAAAACAAGAACAGAAAAAATTAGTATTTCAAAAGTTGCAATTTTTTTTGTTGTGTTATAAAAGTGTTATTTTTTATTGTACTTATTATGAAGAAATTCCTTATAATTTCAAAGTTATTTATCCTATCGACTTGAATTTTATCTCATTCAATTCAACATAAAAAATTGCATCGGGCTTTACATGTTCAGATAGCTTCTAGATAGCAATGTAATAAGTGTATGTAACAATATAAATACTTTTTATACATAAAGCGCTTTCAAACTTTCTCTCGTATAGTCTCGTAAAAAAGAGAAACGAAACAATGCCTTAGATAGCAATGTCAGATGCATACGAATTTGTACTTTTTGTACATAAACCCATATAACTTCCATACTATTAGTCCGATCACCTCGTAAGTGGTTTTATTCAATTCAGCATAAAATATCTCACTTACCGGTGTAGAATATATTGAATTTTCCCCATTACAAATCTATCCCATTTCCCACAAAAAAAGGGAGAAGAGCAGTGAGGGCTCAAGCGATAGAGCGTTCGCTTTCCATTGAGGTTGAGCGGGTTCGATTCCCAGTGATGGCTGGTTGCTACGAATTCCGCTTGTACCGAGCACAGTGCTGACGTAAAAATATCCTCAGTGATAGAAGGATCATGAGTCCCCTTGCCGTCAGGATAACCGTGGGATGTTTTCGTGGTTTTCCTCTCCATGTAACGCAAATGCTGGTTAGTTTCATCAAAAAGTCCTCCACGAAGGCAAATTCTCCCAATACTTGATCCAGGAATTCCTTGTTTTCTGGATGGGGTTCAAAATTACAAGGCTGCGGAGCTGAACATAAGTAGTAAACCCAAAAAATTAGGTCGGCTGTTCAACGACGGTTATAAACTATAAAATAAAAAAGGAAGAAGCGTATAGAGGAATGTAAGAAAGTTTACTATGTACTATTTATAATGCTCTAGCAAAGCTTTCTGCGAAAAAAAAAAAAATGGTTTTAGTGTTACAACTTTTTATTGCTATAATTACTGGACTAAGATGTATTTTATTTGTGTGAAAAAACTGTGCTCACGACGAAGTGTTGCTTTGACGAGTTGCAACATTGTCGTTGCGACAGGCTGTGCCTACACGGAATTGTGCTCATAACGAATTGTACGCTGGTGAATTGTCGTTGCCACGAGTTGTGCCCATGACTAATTATCGTGGCGATGAGTTTTGCCCATAAAGAATTGTCGCCGCCACAAATTGTGCTCACGACGAATTGTTTCGCGACAAACTTGTGTGGGACAAATTGGCGCAGAACCCATGTTTTCTTATTTTTTAAATAGGTATTTATGCTTTAAATCATAGTTACACGTACTATTTGTTGTTTAGGTATTCTTTCAGTATTGGTAGCTCTTCTTATTAGTATTTCTGAGAACAGTCAACAAGAATATCGTGTTCAAAAAGGGTGGTCTTTCTGGATACAAGTAAATATTTACCTCTATTATTATATAAACACACCTGTAAATTTTTGTCATCATTTTTATATTTATTTTACTTGTGATTTTAAAGTCACAGAAACTTAGTCATATTTTAATTTATTTTGTAAATTTATAAATAATTGACTAGGCCCGTTCTTCAATTTGGTTATTCTAATTATTATTTTATTGTTTTACGTTCAACTTATGATTTGTTCATGTACTACAGATTTGAAATCGGTGTAAGAATATTATTCTCAATGTTTCGATTCTCCATTATTTTCTTCTCCGCTGACAAGTTTTGCTTTTTACCCGTGTCTTAAGGCCTGTTTATACGATGCAAGTTCTTGGACGAAGAGTAATTGAAATTGATGGAAACTTGTTTTGCTTTGAACTTGGATCGTGTAAATGATCATCCAAGTTCTTGGTCCTTGGATGATAGTACAGCAAGTTCTACTTTCCATCCACGTTTTTCCTCCCTTAACCAATCAGCTTCTTAAGTTTTGTGACGTCAACAAGCAGGCATCAGATTATGCCATTTAGCTGTCGGTTTTCATATATTTTATTCCAAATAAATTAATCTGTTCCAAAGAGTATAGCCATCCAAACTGTATAGCCATTAACCTATGATTATATAGTGTTCCCGACTTTGACTGATTACTTTGCCGACTTTGACTTGACCCCAGAGTTGTGAAAAAGGCATAAAAGGATGAAAATTCATCGTGATACCCAAACGAAGTTAAGAAGGTTAGTACTGCAACGAAGAAATTAAAAAAGAGAAAGAAATAAATAAAGGAAAAGAAAATCGCATTTAGGTTTTAAATCTAAAAAAGACGAAAAATGAAGGTTAATTGAGATTTGCCTTACCTAAATTAAGCGCTTGTATGCACTTCTTACACTTTTATACTGATGTCCTACCTTATTTAGGCATACTATGCTCTCCAGGTGCGTATCCAAGAAAGTGAACTGGACACGCTGTACCTGTAGTATATCTCCGCGTTCTTCAATCCGTGAGAGTTTTTCTTATGGGATCATCTTAAATAACTAGTTTATAATCTTAATTGTAAATTTTATCTGAGGATATATTGTTAATTAGATCCCTTGCAGAAGCATTTCACTCTGATGAGTTTGCTTTCGAACAACATTTCGTTTTTTAATAATATTAATAAATCTTTTCCATACTAATATCTATATTGTATTAAACTCTGTTATTTTGTGATAAATTTCAAAATTTGAATGAAATGGGTTGTTTATAGTTTGTGAGTCATAAACTTTAAAAAAAAAAATTTCCTGTTTCAAAATTTTTAATTCTCCAAAAATGTTGGTCTCATTTTGCTCAAATTTTGCAATTTGTTATTTAAAATTTTGTAGAAATTTGTCCAATTTACGTTTCAAATTTTTTCTCCCATTATTAAATAAAATAATAAAAAAGTAATAAAAATTATAAATAATTATAAAAATATAATTTTTGCTTGGATTTGCCTCAAACAAGTTTTATAATTTTGTGCAAAACGTTAACAAATCGGCTAAAAATTTTTTGAGATATGGTGACATACGCAAAAAGGAAAATTTATGTTAAGGGGTCCAAACTATCGACCGCTCTTCTAACTTAATAAGTGGGACCCTATTTTCCACATTGAGATTAACCCCCATGTTTTGATAGTCAAGAATCCGACGGAGAAAAGGCACGCTTATTCAATCACAGTAATTTTTGTTGTTGTTGTATTTGTAGTTTGTTTTATTTAATTTAAGGTATAACCCTCTGAAATATTAAGATTGGAATTTTGTACGTTATTAGAACAAACATCTAATATTTAAAACAAAAGTTATTCAGGGTGATATTTTTTAATGGCCACTGTTCATATTAGCTGTTTTTCAATAAATTTGTGCCACCCAATAGGTATGAAGGGTTTTGTCTTCACTTTCCATGGCTTAATCCAGAGTTCGACTACCCGCTTGAAACATTTTTTTTGTTGTATCTGATTACACTGACTTCCTTCTATGTCATAGTTGTTTGAAATCCATTCTAATGCAATGTTTCTGACAGAAAAAAAAGTCCAAAAACGGTTAGGTGGCTAAGAAGCATGATGCAAAGATCTGGTGGTTACTACTACCATCTGCCCATCGATCTATATTGTAGTACATTAATGCTTGCGAAAATTACAACACTATTAAAGAATTGCTAAAATTTAATTCCACATAATACTGATAGGGGTACAAATGAGCATGCGCAATGATTTTGTAATTCTAATCATTTGCATGTTTTAAATCACTTTACATTTCATTGTAAGTTACCCCTTCTTGGTGTTGCAATGTACACAAACATGAGTGCAGTATAGTGCCCACTAGTATTTTAATTTTATTATCTTTAAAACGTTCACAACCGTAATCATGTACAGAAGATTCTCCTTTCACAGCGATTCCAGCGGCCCATGGTTTTACCGGCCTCAATTTAGTACTTAGTACATATACAGACTCTTTAGTACGTGAGCGTATGGACGTGCTTCTTTCGCCGATACTGAACGGTTTAAGAATCTTAAAAACTCTTAGCGTAGCTGTTGTGAGTTAATTACAAAATGTTTCTTGATTTCCTGAAATGTTATTTTATATGTCAGAACTTTACAATAAATTTCTTTTAGATATTCGTGATATGTATGGATGTAATGATAGTTTTGCTTTACCTCATTGAAAATCGTCGATTTTGGAAGCAGCTTATACAACAACAAGTGGACCCTGAAGGAAAAGGTGCAGAAACTTACGGCAATCCAACTTTTGATGCTGATTCACCAGATTTGAGACGAAATTACATTACAAATGGAGCCGTAAGCTTTACTCTAACAAGTGGTCAACCATACAATGCCCATGAAGATGAAAAAGTACCAACTCCCGAGTTAGAAAAAAAGGGTGATTTTAATTCTTTGGCTTATGAAAATGAATCGTATCAAGAAAATTCTCCAGGTGCTGTTAAAAAGAAGCCTTGAAATTTCTATAATTTTAAAGCTGTTTTCGAAAGCTCTCTCGTCACATAAAATAAGTTTTTTTACGATTTATATGCCAGTTATATAATTTATTATGCCTATTTTATTATGCTACAAGTAATATGCCATTTTTGCAATTATTGCAAATTTGTAACAGTTACTCACGTCTGTTAGGTTAAGGCCTATATCTAGCATCTATCATTTTTGCTAATTGTGAAAATGGCGAAGAACGTTAACCCGAAAAAAAAGCCACGTTTTGCAAAATAAAACGCGTTTTTGAAACATTTAAATTTTTAAAAGTTACACCAATGTTGCATTGTTATTTATAAAGTTTTCAAAATTATTTATTAAAAGTTTCATGAGTTTAAAATTATAGCTTTTTTTCAAGTTTAGGGCGTTTGCCAAGACGAAAGAGCTTCGAAGAACAAATTTCGTTAATAATTTAATTGTAATAATTCATCATTTTTAAATTATAATTTTTAGTATATTTGCGTTAATAGCAATTATTATCAATAATTTAATTATAATTAATATCAATAAAATATTTTGAATGGTTATTAATCAATAGTGTATTAGTAATATATATATATTTTTTTACAATTTGTGTTATTATTTTTATATATTGAGTTATAACTTTTGCAGCATTTAATGAATCTTAAGAAATAATTTATTAAGTTAGCGATCGATATCTTATATTTGTCGAAATGAAGTTATAAATGCCATTGAAATTAATCGAACAAAGGCTGAAAATATTTTTCAGCTTTGCTTTTACAGATTTATTATTTTAATCTAATGTAAAATTTTACTCTATTTTGTTTCAATGACTAATTAAGAGGCTTAAAAATTTTTGTGGAAAGAGGAACAATGGTGACAATTTTTTAGCTATATGAGATAAAGGTTTTCAGAAACTACTGAATTCAAACATTTTATTCAAATTTTAAAATTAACTGCATACTTTCGGATATAGTTAATAACTAATGCTGAACTTCTATAGCTAGGATGAGAAGTAAACGAATAAGAGCAAATATTACATAAGCATGCTTTTGATACCTTGTCAGCAAAAAATAAGTCACAAATCTCCTCTCATGCATACGTAAGAAAAACACAGCGTTTTTTAATTTTATACGGGAATTCTAATTTAAAGAATTTTAGGATTAAACTTGAGTAAAGATGTAATTTTGCATTATTAAACAAAGTTAACTTTTAATTTATTTCATAAAATTTTAAAATATATAGAATTTTTGCCAGCTTTTTCTTTCCCCAAATTTAATTTTTATTTCAAAATTTTCTAAGTATAGTTATTATCCTAATTTTCTTTTGTTTCATTTTTTTAAAAATTGAGCATGACGGGATTTTAGTGTCTTACGTAAGCATTGCTGATGTCCTCTCTTGTCAGCAAACATAAAATCTTCACAAGCCCCTTAGGTTCTTACGTAATATTAGAATGGTTTCATAGGTAAATCCTGCAAAACTCGAACAACAATAAATGATCGTATGTAAACGAACGCCAATTTTTTACAGAAATTCGCCAATGGTTCAAAAGTTATAAATAATTTTTTCCCTTCATGTAGCACAATAATTGTTGTAACACAACAATTAAGTACTTAATTTTAACTCTTCTTTTCTAAAGATAGTTTCACAAGTTGAAACCAATTAAGCATTTATTGCTGAATTATTTTGAAATTAATCTTGTAATTTCTATTATTAAAAGTAAAGCAGGAAGTTGATAAATCTTGTAAACATGCAAACAAGAGAATGTTTTTGTTAAAATGAAAGCACCGCTGAAAAAATGTTTTCTTGAAAAGACCCGAGCATTCACGGTATCAAACATATTTTAAATGAACACCATAAAACAAACCATCACTCTATTGTATATCATCCAAATCGATAATTAAAGGTTAGAAAGAAAAGTCACATTGTTTTCTGTCGTTGATATTTTATGTGTCATTGCAATTTGGTGGCCCTGTCGCAGAATTTTTTCGGGCTTTCTGCGACATACCTCTAATAATAATATCTTTCTGCAAGATACTTTTAAAAATAACAAATAGACATGTTACTAAATTAAAGTAACAGAAGGGTCAAAAATTCAAAGAAAAAAAAATAATAATAATTCTTTTTGGATGAAATAAAATAATTTTTCAATTAAATATGCAATTTTTTTATTCTAATATTATGGGTGATGTTCTCGCATTTTGTAGGGGGAAAACACACTAATTATTTCCTCTTTCGCCTTTTGTAAATCATTATCACTTTAAAAAAATAATTAAAAAATCGTGAAATCCGTAGCAGTAACTACCGGAGATAAAAAGATCGACGACGAAACCACGCGAATCGGATGATGAATCAAATGCGTGTTTTCATTTCGAGATTCAATTGTTGTAATAAATAATATCGTAATAAAAATATCGGATTTTAAAAACTATGTGTAGTAATAATGACCGCATTAAAAAATTTAGAACAAAAACTTCTGCAGAAAAGAAAACCAAATTTTTTTACTTCATTATTCTTTATTTTTCATTATTATCAAAGGAGAATAGAAAAATCACAAGCATTTTTTTCACTCCGATGCACGAGAAAGACATCTTTTGAATATAATGCTGAAGAAAAGATAAAAATCATTCGAAAATTTCTGCAGAAAAATTTTTTTTTTTTGTACTTTCCAAAAGATAAACCTAAAAATGAGTGTGCTGATTTGTGTTTGGAATTTTGTTTTTAAGGCTGTTTAATGTTAACGGAGGCCTTATTTTCTTTTAAAATGACGCTTTTTAGAAAATAATATGCTATTTTTATAACTGTTGTGCGTTTTTAACCGTAATTCATGGCTGTTAGATCAAATTTAGCCCTCCTTTAGCCAGCACCCTCAATGTTAATTCTGAAAATGGCGCAAAAAATCAACTAGAAGAAAAGCCACAGTTTTGTGACAATGAAAACGTTTGCTATATAAATTTTTAAAATTGAAAAGTTGTTCCAACACTGCATTATCTGGGCTTTACAAAAATGTGCATAAATAGTGAATCGATTTTGATAATTCTCTTTTAGTTAGAAAAATCTCGCCAAATTGGTGATTTTTAAAATAGTTTAGTAATTTATAAAATATTTAAGTTAATAAGTTATAAAATTTAAAAATATTCGTTCAAAAGCTCAGATGATTATTTATGACAAAATGGTTTATAGTTTAAACTCATAGTTTTTCCTCGAGTGTGAAGCACTTAAACTGTGGCTTTTTTTATTATCCTTGGCGAGAGAGCTTCGAATAACAATGTTAATAATTTTTATTAAAATAGAAAAATCTCACCAAATTAGCAATTTTTCAGCTCAAAATTCTTTTAAATATTTAAACTATTTGCCTATTTTGAAGTCTAAATAATTCTTTATGAAAAAATAGTATAAATAGTTTAAAATTTTAGCTTTGCTTTGAATTTAAGAAACTCGAATTGTACCTTTCCGATTTGAGAGAACATAGAAAAACACCCTTAACGTTCGCAAATGTCCATATTTGGAGTTACAATTAAAACCATAAAGCAAACCAATATCATTTTGCAAGTTATTTAAACATTACAGCAAGAAAACGGGAGAAATAAGTTAGTAGTTTTCTCTACTATTAAAATTGGGGACTACGCCTCAAACATATGCGTACTGATAACTTTTTATTACTGTGTTTTGAAATTTGCTTTTTAGGAAACGAAATTTTACCCTGAATGCTCGGCTTAGATTCATAGAGTTACACCATTTTTTTTACAAAACGCAATTCCAAATCGTTATTACTGCATGGCTTGTATTTTTATCCTTTTTATTATTCCTGTAAGTAAATATTTGTGATGCTAAATTTTTAAATTATTATTATCTTCTTATCTTTTTGAGTGATTAACTTGACTTTAATTCATACCAACACTAGTGATATTTTTAAGGTAATTTAATTTTACAAATCTATTATTATTTCATCAATTTTCTTATTTATTTACATTGTTTTTAATTTTCAGTATAAAAGAAACAATCGTTACGAGCTGAAAACTCTAAAAATTATACAATCATGCTACGAGTATCATATTTTAAATATACATAAGCTAGGGTATAGATGGATTGTGAATTTATTATTATCATATTCATTATAAAACATTCCAAAAATTAAAAAAAGAAGTCATCATTGATTAGCTTCCTTAAAAAAGGCAAACTTTCAGAGCCTATAGACATTGGATGGATAACCGTATAAAGCTAAGCTTAGTTAGCGCTCGGGGATAAAATTCGTCCTAAGATTTCCGGGTTCCGTATAAGCAAACCATACCGCGGACTGGAAACTTGGCGATTGCAGTTGGAATTGGCGATGATAACGCGTAAATGTGGTGGGAGATCGAAATTACATTAACCCAAACCGCAATTCGATATTCTTTTTTTCCTCCTCGACTAGCCATAATGAATAAAATACATAAATAAATTAATAAACGCTTCTGCAGGTATATTTCTTTAAAATTTCATTTTTTCAAAATAAGTTATTCATCCTATCTCTATTAGAAATTAATTGGAATCATAGTTTTTTGAAGAATATATATANTTATGTTCCAAGATATTTACAAACTGACCTGAATGTCAAGATGATTGCAGCACATTGTTTATGTTCAGGATATATATATATATATATATATATATATTATTTTTACCTGATTGAAAGAAAACTTTTTTCACGCAACTTGCGTTATTCTATAAGCTCGTGTTGTTCAGCTGGAAATTAATTTGTAAGTGTGTGATGAATAAATTGTTGTAAAAATAACTCATTAATTCCTTTTCGTAGAGAATGAAAAAAGAAAAAAACCTTTTTATTGTTAGGATCACTTTGCAAATACACTGTATTTATATTTTATTAAACGCAATAATTTATATTTTATAAAACGATCTTGTTTTTTGATATAACAGATTTAATTTTTTAATTTATTCTTACAGGAATTGTGTTTGCGAAGAAATAAAAATATTTTATTAATGAACCAATCACAAAAAATAACGTAACATTTTAATACCATGTTTTATTGGAACGCTATTCTGAAGAATTAATTCTATCTAACTTTTATTGTAAGAAAACATAACCTGATTTATTTTAGTGATATTCTGTATTAAATGAATTTTGATAAAAGAATTATGTAAACTTTTTTATTAAGATTGTTTTTTAGAAATTAACAAAGACATAATATTTACTAGAAAAAAAATTTGAGTATTCAAAAATGTTATCACGCCTTAAAGTAATAATTTCTTGCAAATGAAATAATCGATATTTTTAAAATTTTAAAGCAATCGGAAATTCGCTTGTGAAAAAAGAAATACGTGCAATAATTTCAAGGGGGAAAAATTTACAAATAAAGGGATTTTTCTTTAATGACCTATGTCACTAGTTTTAAACTCTAAATGATATTTATTCATCTTAAACTTAATCTGAATCTATCAAAATATCTGATTTCATATAACTGATATCTAATTGTATCTGATTTAATGAGAATTGATTAAAAGTAAATTTAGAAAACAAATGTATGTTAT